TTTWATCAATATATTGAATTTATTTTCGAGAAACTATATCGCACATATCGGGCGAAAAATGTTGGACCGCGATCGCGATATGACGTCATATTCTCCTTATTTATGCGAGACGATGCCGAATATAAATATACTCAAACAACATGGCGGACAGGACGGTCAGGTGSTGGATATAAAACACAATTTTACCACKTAAAACAATGCATTTACCGTGATTTAACAAACCAGACACCTTTATTTTACAACTGTAAGGACTTGAGGAGCAAAATGGGTGATCCAAAGTACCATTTTCCTCACAAAAGACTTCTGGATTATATCATCGTTGTTGGAGTTCGAAAACCGACTCTYGAYTCCACTGAAACTCCGCAGTTGCTTCGGAGGTTCCCACAGAACGACCACGATGATTTCTATCTTCCTCCAGACGTGATATTCTTCTGTCAGCCYGAAGGATGTAGTACAGTGTCGAAGAAGTTTTCATTACGAGAAGCAAACTCGTTTATTTTTACTYTAACTGACAAGGACACGAATAAAGTTCGATATGGAGTTTGCATGAACATATATCGYCCATGCTCRCAGTTCTTATTTAAAGAGTCGGCTGACTCGAAAGTTAAAGACGTTAATATTACGAAACGAAAGCGTTCAAGATCGAAGAACAAGAAAGATATTTGTATGACTTTGACTTCTCTATGTATCGTATCACATCATCCATTTTTCTCGACGTTCAGGGAGTGCCTCTTCGTGCTTCGTAAAATGGTTGATTCTCGTGTCGCAGACGACAGAAACGACAAAAATGAGAACTCAGTTCCTGGCCTTGAAAGCTGGTCAGTTTTTACGTGCACTGAAGATCCGAAATTAAGTCCTTTGAAGGACGAAATGTCAGAAATTGAGACGTGGATTCAACGATTGTTGCTCGCACCAGCTCCCGTTCAGGGTCGAACGAAAGTGAATATGGAACTTCTATGTCCTGAAACCTATCCGAGTTTGATATTTTCTACGCCGGAGTCGACTCGCTTTCCCCTGATAGACTTTCCTGTACATATACCTCTTGAATTACTTGGCGTTGAGACATGTCTTAAAGTACTTACTTGCATTCTCATGGAACACAAGGTAACAGTTTGAATTTATGTTTGCATTTAAAAGTTGCTGCATAAAATATACATAATGTTTGATCAGTTGTTCTCGAACATTTCATCGAAAATTATCTTTATCTTCGAGAATGTTATAGAAAAAAGKTATCCTTATTCGAAGACATCGACMTCTTGTATAAWATRCTTATTTAAAAGACCGTCTGAGGAAACCATTTAAATGTCACTTCAAATGAAATGCATATGATGTTTGATCAGACGTTCGAGAATAACTGATCAACAATACAGCGATTTTTATCTTCGGGAGGTGAAAATTTCATTGATAATCTGTATTTTCATGCTTATGGCCGGAAGAAGTAATCACGATGTCTTTTTAATCGTATTTTATGCAATATATTTTTGGACGCAAAGCATGAAACTTGATATCGTCAACATTTAATTACCATTATTAGTCTACTCTGCATGRTCTGTTTTGAATACCGCTTTCCCAGTAAGCTATTATTCGATTAGTGTGTTTGTMTTTTATTGGCAAATCTTTATAAATTGTCTTTAAGTGAAGGAAATAGTACTGAGATCTCACACTCTTTTGCAATATCATGTTTCTACTGTGCATTTTGTGGTGTATTTTTAGTCCTAACATGTGGAATATAATAGATAAATAGACACTAGAACTTAAGCCATGTACCTAAGAATGTACCAATCCACAAACAAACAAACAAACAAAAAACAAAAAAACAATGACGACAAAAGAAGACAAAAAGAGAAATGAAAAACAATGAAAGGCAAAACTGTTATTTCTTAGCATGAATCTGCTTGCAATATTGTTATACATGTAAATGTACAGCCTTTTGCAAAAATTATGAGAATTGTCTAAATATCTAAATATCATAATATCCATATCCATATATTGTCCGGAACACGAGGGTTTGCTAGAATAATTCATTGTTGACATCGAGAAAATGTTCAGAACTATGGATATGTAAGTCGCCAAAAACAAAACTAAACTACAAAGACAAGGGACTAAGGGCATCGCGTGGGATTACCCATCATGCACTTGATATTATGATATTTAGATATTTCAACAATTCTCATAATTTTTGCAAAAGGCTGTACTTAAAAATATATTAATAAATGTACTTTATTTTTTAAAAAAATACGGTGAAATATTCAATTTTTATTCAAGTTAACAAGTCAGTAGTTGTTAATAATAATTGAATATCATGTCTACATGGATCCAATTCACAATTTCCAATCTTTGGTCAAGATATTTTGCTATCTTGATGTTGTYAGAGTGCTCGCACTAAATGCGTGAAATATAAATACTACAAAATAGGTGATAAATTATACAAATTYCTTTGTTTCCTATTKTATRATCAACACTATTTAGTAGTAATTAGTACTATTTGTTTCACGCTTTAAGTGCGAGCACTCTATATTCTTTTAAACATGTTGTAAAGGAGAAAATGTCATCTGTCTTGAATTCATAATTATTGCAATAAGATGATAAATGTGTGCCAAAATAAAACAGAAAACTTATTGTTTGTTAGTCAGGGTATTATGCTTTCACTAAAGATCCATTAGCCTCCTTTGCAGACGTTATTAGTATCGGTCATAAACGTCTGCAAAGGAGGCTAAAGATCCATTGTCTGAAATATTAGTAGGTTTTCTGTCTTTTTTCTGTTTAAATATACCTTAGTCAATAGGGAGCACAACTGGGAATACCAAGGTGTTAAGGGCATTTCAATGATGTAACATGTAATGTCCCAGCATTATTTACCACTCCTTATAGACAAAAAAAGCGGCTATAAATAGAAATTCCTTTGATTTATGCAATTAATTCTCCCGCTCCCTGTTACTATAACAGTATTATATTCYCAACTGTATTAACTTATATCAATTATCCAGTCCTCTTGCGGGGTATCAATAATCCAGTTTCAAATTCTCCAATGCTCTGTGTCAGTCTCATTTGTGCACAAAATATTCCTAATTATGAGAATAAAAGTGTGAGATTTCAAATCAATTGTCTTCCTTTTCAAATCCATGCCTTTTCTTGGGCTATTGATAAAACAAAAGAAAGTGTTACTTGGTTTTGAGGCTAACACAGAGCAAACCAGAACTCAAAATTGGACTATTGACTGATGAAATCGAAACTGTGAAATTGCATTTTTCTTAACATTATTACATTATTAATAATTATTATTTTTTAGGTTGTCATCCAGTCGCGAGATTATAATGCCCTTACAATGAGTGTYATGGCCCTGACGTCGTTATTATACCCACTAGAATACATGTTTCCWATTATACCACTACTGCCGACATGTATGAAYAATGCAGAACAGCTATTGATGGCACCAACGCCRTACGTCATTGGCGTTCCYGCTAGCTTCTTTCGCTACAAGTGTAATGGATTCTGTCTGCCGTCTGACGTGTGGGTTGTTGATCTGGATTCTAACAAGGTATAGAGAATAACCACAACAATTTGTAAGGTCGGCTTTTGAGAAGCATGGGTGGTACAGTGGTAATGMACTGTCCTACCACCTGGTTTGATTCCCGGTCCAGTACTATATGTAGTTTGAGTTTGTAAACTGGTTTTATCCCTTGCTCCGAGAGTTTTTCTCCAAGTCTGCTGGTTTTCCTCCCWCCCTCAAAAACTAGCTGTGAGGAGTGTCGTGTAGTAAAATAATGAATGTTGAGGTAGTGAGTATGAGTGAATATATAGAGGAACACAAGTTTACTAGTCTAGAGACTATTACGTGCTATCCTCTCAAAATAAAGAGTTTATTATCATTATTTTCATGCTAGTTATCTCACATAAAGTCTGTCCCATTAATGTTGGTTGTTTTATGTCTAGCTAACTGTTCCACTTTCTGCCGATGAGTTGCCAGATCTTCCTGAAGAGTCTGGTCCATTGTTGATCAGTCAACTGAAAACAGTAAGCTGCCACATTGTTTTAACAGTTCTGAATAATAATTATTATTTATCATATAATTATCTATGAAATACCTATATCTCTCCATTACGTAAAGTTATTTTTTTCACTTTTTTTTTGTTTATATTGTATCTTTAATTTTTTTCTCAGAAGAATATTTTACTTTAACTTTAAAGTTTAACTAAAAGYTTTGACAATGTCAATGACTTGGCAATTTGTCATTTATGGTGTAGTTATAGCAATTGAAATCCTTCCTGGCAATTTTAAAACGTTTTAATGCAAAGGACTTTGTTGTTGTGTTTATGCCAGTTTACAACTGGACAACATTGATTGGACTGACATAAAGTTTACATGTACATGCTCATTGCATGTTTGATCCAAGATGATTTGGATAAATATTTAATCTCTCTTAATCTCTCTTGTACTGAAGGTATATAATTTCTTCATAACTATCTTAACAGGCCCTGCAAGCTCTCAGTATGCCTCCACAAACCATCTCCAGCCTGGCAAACGCGACACCACATGACAGACTTCCTGGACAACCTAAAGACAAAGAGTCCGAGATGATTGTCTATGGTAATGACGTCGATGCTGTCGATGTTGCTGTYCGGGTTGCCATGGTGAATTTCTTTTTAAGTAATGACATCTTAGGCGGCGTCCAGGATCATACAAGAACGCTTAGGCTCTTCCCTAGGCCCGTTGTTGCGCTTCAAAAAGGTCCCTTTCTTAAGTCAAGACCAAATCTATCAGATTTTGTCCTAGCACTGTCTGAGACACAAGTAAGTAGAGAATGCTTGGTGRTTATACTAGAGATGAACTGTTTTGTTGTGTTTTACATGAAACAGTTTTTGATAGAGGTTTCATTGGACTGTGAAACAAYATCAAGAGAGGGTTAATTATGTTAATTCAGTGGAACTGTTTTGTTTTTTACATGAAACAGTTGTTGTGGTCGTTTTCATTGGACTGTGAACAAATAATTGTCAAAAGTTGATGTTTTTTCAATCTAATATTAGGACTGACCCAAATGYAAGCAATGTAGGTGTGATATGATCGTCTAGGTGTGATAAGTCTTCAGAATGTCTGATATAGTGACCGGATGTGTTTACATCCAGTGTAGAAGTCATCTTCTTCTTCAAGATTTTATCTACATATTGTCATTTCGTCTAAAAAACTTCCTAACATTTTTATATGTTGCACCTAGCTGGTGGTAAACATGAAGGTTGTCTTATATGACATTCCAAATCGATCCTGACAAATCCTTCATAAAATTTAAAATCAATTATTTTTTGTTATTAGGCTGTTGAGTACTTTGGAGAATGGTTTGTAAGTCCATCCAACACAGCGTTCCAAAAGATCCAGAAAGGTAACATTCTTTATTTCATCCATTCACTTATTCAATTGTCTATCCATTCAGGCAATTCGCCGATAATTTTATTTTTCTTTGGTTTCCTTTCCATTCAGCTCTCCTTCCATTCATTTTTTCACTCATTCATTTATTCCTAYTAKCCCATGTCTTCARTTATCGTWATATAAGCAAAAACTTACTTTTTAGTATCCCTTTATGCTCCATGTATGGAGATGTTGTAATATAAAGACGGATTGCGAATGGATATTTGAAATCACCTCATTTTCCATATATGAAAGATCTTAAACACGACCGCWTTGAATSCTGGAGGAACATGGACCTTTATCAGGGTTCRYRCYACTCCTTGAAATCCTTGAAAAKTCCTGGAATTGAAAACTCGTTTTCAAGGGCGCTTGAAAAGCCCTTAAAAATGGGAATAATGGCTATAAAACTCCTTGAATCTGATAAAATTAACATTTTGCTTTTTGTTGTTTGGATTGAAATGTGGCTATTTTTGGAATCACCACTGGAAACATTCGCAAAGATCAAGAAATATCTTCAAAAATAGTCYTTGAAAATCGCATTTTTGTGCTTAAAAAGTACTTGAAAAATCCTGGAAKTTTGTAGTGAACCCTGCTTTATGTAAATAAAGCCTCTATTATCACTTATCAACAGGTATCCAAGATCCTTCAGTTATCGGAGACAAGCCAAAATGGTACTTCAACGATGTGGAGACAGTTTTCTATCAAGTGTATGACGTAGAATCGAAATTGTACTCTGATCCGTGGATCGAGGTCGACTACGAGCCAAGTCTGATCTTTGACGAAGAGGAGACGCCCAACAACGACGAAGATGACGATAGCAGTAGCTGCTACAGCTCTGTTAGTGATCTTGTCCAGCAAATGATCAGGTTAGAGGAGTATTTTGGGATTCCTGTGCCTTTTTGACTGAGAAGGCCTGGTACAAATCTTCTATTCGTTATTCTTGCAACCTCGTTCTGTACCTAGAGCCCCCCCTTATGCACCCAGCGGAAGTCAATGCGTCAGCATACCGCTGACATTAGCTGTGAAGACTCTGGGCTCGAAATTATTATTCTTGCGTGGTCTTTGTCTGCGCGTKTTTTCTCTTCCACTTTTCCATTTTCTTTCTCGAGTAAATAATTATATTAATAATGTTTTAATAATCAATAATATAGCGGAGACATAAACGGCAGGACACCAACTTGTTCCCAGATCCCACCGTTCAATCCAGTACGGTCGTCATCGCCTCTACCCGATGTGCAGGCTTCGTTCTCATTACCAGACTCTTTGACCACGGGCAATTATCTTGGTGTTCCAAAGGAAAGACTTGAAAAGGAGAGAATGGTGTTCGACTCGGCAGAGAAGTGAGTTATTTGAATATACTGTACAATATAGGACCTTTAAGGCTGATTTACACGGTACGATTTGTCGCGCGCGACTTGTAGTATAAGATTTTCCTACTACAAGTCGTAGGATTTTAAGCAGTGGTTCAAAATCCTACTACAACTCGTAGGTTGCGTACGACTGTTGTAGACAAGTCGTAGGNATGTGGAGACAGTTTTCTATCAAGTGTATGACGTAGAATCGAAATTGTACTCTGATCCGTGGATCGAGGTCGACTACGAGCCAAGTCTGATCTTTGACGAAGAGGAGACGCCCAACAACGACGAAGATGACGATAGCAGTAGCTGCTACAGCTCTGTTAGTGATCTTGTCCAGCAAATGATCAGGTTAGAGGAGTATTTTGGGATTCCTGTGCCTTTTTGACTGAGAAGGCCTGGTACAAGTCTTCTATTCGTTATTCTTGCAATCTCGTTCTGTACCTAGAGCCCCCCCTTATGCACCCAGCGGAAGTCAATGCGTCAGCATACCGCTGACATTAGCTGTGAAGACTCTGGGCTCGAAATTATTATTCTTGCGTGGTCTTTGTCTGCGCGTGTTTTCTCTTCCACTTTTCCATTTTCTTTCTCGAGTAAATAATTATATTAATAATGTTTTAATAATCAATAATATAGCGGAGACATAAACGGCAGGACACCAACTTGTTCCCAGATCCCACCGTTCAATCCAGTACGGTCGTCATCGCCTCTACCCGATGTGCAGGCTTCGTTCTCATTACCAGACTCTTTGACCACGGGCAATTATCTTGGTGTTCCAAAGGAAAGACTTGAAAAGGAGAAGATGGTGTTCGACTCGGCAGAGAAGTGAGTTATTTGAATATACTGTTAGCCTGTGTACATCCGTTTCTCACCCCTCAAAAAATCGGGGAGAGAACGTCTGTGATTTGCCGTTGCTAATCGTGTTCTGACATAAATTTGCATATATAATGTAACATGCACGTTAGAGCTTGAGCAGGCACGTTAAAAGGTCAAGACCGTTCCGCAACGAACATAATGCCTAGAGATTTTGTTTTTGTTTCAGCCATTCAATTCTAACTTCGACCGTGGTTTAAATTATTGTTTCTGCCCATTGGTCTATGCCGTGCTCTCTCTATCTTCGGTAGTAGGTGTCTCGTCAGAATGTGGTTTTCCTGTAATTTGCGTCATACAATGACTTCCATCAACCTTACTAATATCTTCTTGTGAAGATTACGTTGTCCTCGGCAGTTTTGAAGCTGTAACTCTGGCGCTTTCGCAGGCTATTATGAGATGTAGAATACAAACTACGAAGCCCCCTTATCTTCTTTAGCACTTCTGACAAATGCAAGTTTTGTTCGTGAAGATTGGCGACGAATTCTAATGACATTATAATTCCACATCAATTTTAAATTTACCCTGACCGAATATAAGATTAAAGCCTAAACTTTTACAGAGAATTTGAGAGCAAATAACATATTCAATTTGAAGCATTCTACATGTTCCAGTGGTTTACCATGAAGGCTTATATTTCACTCGTGTGACCAACTTTACACGCCATCTATTGATTTTGGCCAATCACAAGTCTTGAAATACAACAGCCAATCAAATTCTTCCTCACAATAGAGGACCTTGACAAGGAGAAGTACTACAATCATATGCAAAATAAACGGAACACCCTGTCCCCTCCCCCCACTGCAAGGTTGTTCACACAACCAAAGACAGTGTTTCACATAATTTTGCAAAAGATTTGGGCTTCATTTCTAACGGTTCTCTTGGGACTAGTAGATAAGCCTCCCATCTCTCGCCCCCATTCTCCCTCTTTTGACTCCCAAAAAAGACAGGAAGCCCGTGATTCTTAGTGATGCCTGAGGAGGAGCCTTGGTTTGAAGGCTTTTTGCCAACTTGTTTGATAGTATTGAATTTAGTTTCATTAACCCTGTTTAATGTTGTTGTATGGAGTATCAGACATGCTGAATGGAGTTTAGCCTGAGTTAACTCGACTCTCTTTCACACACTAGACAAAACAAACGGTCTGACACTGTCACCTCATCGGACTCGGCTGCTGGTTCGCTGAGTAGTGGCGACTCGTACTCGGCTCCGAGTGATGACTCTGAAGAGTTAATGTACTCGGTGTCTAACCCGCCTTCACCTGATGGCGTCCGCAAGAAACAACTCGCTTCAGATACAGACAGCGAGAAGACCGCCACATCAGATCAAAGCAACTCTCAAGTGTCGAGTGTTGTGTTGAAAAGTGAGAAGGAAAAGCAGGAAGAACCTGTTTCTGTCATGGGTAAGTTTGATGAGATAGGAAAGTACTTCTTAAAATGACTCTTGTTGGCTCTTCGTTTTGTTCGTTTTCTCTAATTTATTTATTCCACTCGCAAGTATAGAACTCAAACGACGAATGCATTAAACTACAAGACCTGATATTCTAATTACAGTCAACTCTCGCTATTACGGACACCCTCGGGACCGTAATTTAGTGTCCGCATTAGCGAGAGTCCGTAGTAACGAGAGTTACTTGCAGTCACTTCTTTGTATTTTTCGCCGGGGACTTGATTATTTCGTGTCTGTAATATTGAGGTGACCGTTATAGCGGGGTGTCCATAAGGCGAGAGTTGACTGTACTGTACTACTCGATTCTTATCATTTTCCCATAATTTTCCGCAAATTCCCATTCGGTAGTTAACTCATTGTTCTTCATGCAAAATTTCTAAAATTCTCTCTGTTCCTCGAAGCTGGTTTCCTTAATAGTCTCAAGAAAACGACGTTTACCATGGCCAAGATGGCAAAACAAGAAACCAGTGAAAAACCAGCCGATGTAGAAAACTATTCCAAGAGAGTGAACAATAGTACTGCCATTCAGGCAGCTCGTCCTGGAATGAATCCTGAAGATAAATCGTTTTTCCCCTTTCCAGGTATGGCGTGCATCTATTAATTTCAGCATCTTTCTTCAATCGATGAATCAATCAATCTATCAATCATTCAACCAATCAATCAATCAATCAATCAGTCAACCAATCATACAACCAACAAATAGTCAACTGACCAATCAATCTATC